TTTTTTTTTTACTTTTCAAACATAAATTAGATAAAAATTTAACAATTTTCAACACAAATTTTTGTTCTTTCCATGCTCTCCAAAATTAATTTTTCACAACAATTCTTTTCTCCTCATTCCTTGACACATTTCAATTTTAGATGAAATTCTTCCCATAATCTTGAGCAACATCGCATCCACTCTACCAATTTTGACAATTGCTTAACCATGAAATCCAAAATCAGCACATAGAAAATCTTAGATCCAGTACCTGAGCCAAGAATGGTGAAGCAAAAAAGAATTAAGCCAAGTGACGAACCCAAGAGTTGGGTTCGCGAGGTTTTGGGTTCATTGTGAACCCAAGTGCTTAGGTTCGTGACGAACCTCATGAACCCAGGTGCTTGGGTTCATCGCAAACCCAACCAGAAGGCAAAGGTAAAAAATAAAAAACAAAATTCGAGGGAAGGAGAGGATAAGACAAAAGGGAGAAGAAAATGAGGGCAAATTAGTGAAGATTTGATCTTTAATTGAGATGAAGATTGGTGTGAAGATTTGAGGGCTTTGATGGAGGAAGGTTTGGCAAAGAAGAAATCAATAGATGAGAAGGGGATTAGCTTCAGTCAAAGGTAGAGAGGATTGGGGATTTGGGCTTAGGAAGAAGATGAGGATCAAAATGGGAAATGCAAAGACAAAGGGAAAAAGATGATTTTTTCTTTTAATTATTTTAGAACCTATTGATTACATGGAAAATAAATTTTATTGCCAACTCATCAATTTTGCCATGTGTAATCACATGTCACCATTAAAAAGAAAAAAAAACAAAACAGTTTAAAATATATTTTTAATGCAAATAAGGCTAATGAAAATAGTTTTTAATGCAAAATTTAATTTATTCATTGCATAATTAAAATATATATTTTTATTTTTTTTATTTTTGATAAAAATTTGAATTATGACAATTCTCGTATAATTTTATTATTTCTACAATACCATAAAAAAAACCATGGTAAATCAAGGCACTCCTAATTTTGTTAAATATTTTATTTATTATCTATTCATGAAACATTTAATTATTCCATACACCAAATCCAAAGAAATACACATTCCTATGGAGTTGTTTTTATTAATTTCTTTAAACTACTAATTTTATTATTAGAGAATAAAGCATTCTTATACCTTTACAAATAAAATTACATTAATATTGGATCCTTGTACTATTATTAATTCTACAAAAGGTTACCTCATTCAAGCATATAAATAAAGATAAAACCATACAACATACTTGCACCAAGAATACCTTACATGCACATAATCATATATAGAGACACCATACTTTCACAACATACTTGCACCGACAACTTCATAAGTGAAATTGCATTTAATTAATGACCATAATTAATTCAAGAAGGGGGTTTTGTAGAATTACAACTTGACAAAATGTAAAATGTGTGATGCTTGAATTGAAAATGTCCATCATTTGTTCTTATTGTCAAGCCACCTATGCCTCATGGAGAAAGTGTTTGAAGTGGTGAGGTTTATGTTCAATAGCTATCAAAAAGTTTTTTGCCAACACTTGGGGTTAACGTCAAATAAGAGAATGAGAGAAGGGTGGGTATTGGGAAGTAGAATGCTTTGCTTATATATGATCATTCCGGTTAATTAGGAATAACCGTGCTATATATATATATATTTAAAAATGATATGATCATCAATTTTTACGAGTACCTCTTATACACCAAA